GTACAACAATCCAATAAAGGTCACAAAACCACCTATAACCAGAAAGAGAGACAGTTTTAGTAGGACCCCATACATCAGAATGAATAGTAGCAAAAGGAATTCAAGCTTTTATTATTAATTTTGAGAATAAGAATGCCTGGTGTGTTTGGCCAAGTTTCACAAGCATCACATACTAATTTGAATCGAAATCAACCACTTAGCAAATAAAGTGGGAAATAAACGTCCTAAAAACAGGAAAAAGAGGATGTCCTAATCTCCTATGCCATTGAAAACTTCATGGGAAGGATTGTTCTAGGAAGTTCCTAACAAAGCTTGTGACCGGTACCGACTTTTTGAAAACGACAAATGTCATCCACAGATGACAGTCCATCGCGCAAGCTACCACTGCCAATCGTTCTCCCCGTGTTCAGTTCTGAAATATACAATGAGTAGGGTAAAAGGTTACCTTTGCAATTAAGGCGCTTTTGTGATTAAGCTAACAGATAATAGTATTAATAGGGAATCTAGGGACATGTAAGAACAGAGGAAGAGTTTAATATTGGAAGTACAGTTAATTAGAACCTGTGCCGCAATGGGTACTAAGACCATCCGCAATGCCGAATTTTTTTCTGTGCCTTGATACTTAGGAATATTTGTAAGAAATGTTTTATAGAGCCTGTTGTATGTTTATTTGCTTCCTGAATCTATAACAAGAGGGTTTTGCCCAATTTTTTGCCAAGAAAGGTAAGAAAAAGCATTACACTGAATTAACAAAATTAGAAGTTGCAGTCTGGTGAGGAAGAATCAAGCTGTGAAACAAATCGTTTCAGTGACTGAATTTCCTTATCAGAAAAAGCTTACCAGTAATGTAGATGTTTCCTCACATAAAAGCTCCACCATTCAGATATTGTGGCCTGCAGTCTAGAAGAACTGACCCGCTTTCCTCCACGCCCTTTAGTTGGCGTTCCATGTTAATTTCCAGGCAGAACTCCTTCGTGTGCTGTTCTTACCACTAATAGTCACAAAATAAATTGATCTCTGTTTGAAGAACCGTTCTTTGGTAGCCTGTATATTTCACTTGCAGAATTAGGCAAATCAACCCTGTTTATTCAATTGTAGATCTGTGAACCATTGCATTCCTCCGAGTCTTCCTCTTGTGTACAAAGAATATGCTTGTCGCTAAGGATGGAAAAGGATCTCGTCCAAGAACTTGGACTCGAATTTGATCATATTCGTTGTTTAAGCCAGCTAAGAAAAATCATACACACCGTTCTACTTCATCAATTTCTGGAACTTGAGTCGCATCATCAGTACATTGCTTGAAAGTTCTTGGTAATAATCCAGTTTCTTGCCATAACCCACTAAGTTCAAGCAAAATACTGAGCGGATAGTCAGATCTTCCCTGTTTGGTTTCATGAACTTTCTGTCGCAAATTCATAACCTTCTGAGCATTAGTTTCCAGTTTGCGAAACGTCTGTGAAGCGGCATCCCATATCTTCTTTAGCTTGTATCAGAAGCAATTTAAGCCTGGGAATAGTTGCTGCCATGGAATTTATAACCAAGACCTATAAGAGATTTCTCGGATTTCCATTTGTTAAAGCCTGGAATCTGTCGAACCTGGTTTAGTTGCGCCACCATCAAGTATCCCTGCAAAACTCTTGCTCTCAATGAATAATAAGCAAGATCGAGACCAAGCCAGGTTAGTTTGTTCCATCTAACTTCACCGGATAATCTGAAGAGAGGGCTTCTGAGTGAAAACCTATTACCTTTTTTCCGTCAGCCATATTGTCAGAAAAATTTTTTAAGCGGCAGTGGCAAGAATAGCAGCGGCAGAAATTCAACCAAAAAAAAAAAAAAAGGAAAAAAAAATTGGCAAAAAGCAAAACTGGTGCTGAAGAACCAGCAAAAGGAAGAACGCCACAACAAATCGAGGCCGTCGAACAAAAAATGTCGATGGATCTCGCCGGAAACAGCTGCACGCGCCGGCGCGTGAAGAACGGGCCGAAAACTTCTTGGCGGCGGCGTGTGCACACGCGCTGGGTCGGACAGCGACGCGGCTTGGATGGGGGCCCGATCGGCAGTCCCTCTTCCTTCTGAGCTGGGCGGGTGATGGCCAACTCCTAACTCCGGCGGCACTGTTATTCTCAGCCCCTGTTTCAAATCGAAAAACCGTCGCCGGAAAAAATTCACGGCAATGCTCTGATACTCAGTTGTTGAAAGAATATTTTCGAATTTCTTTTTATTGTGTGTATTATATTTTCAATTCCTCTACATCACTTATATATATACACAAGATATTCCAATATAGGGAAGAGGAATCTAAATAGGAAGAGATCTAAATAGGAATAAACCTAAATTAGGAAAGACAATAAACCTAAACTAGGAAAGACAATATTGATTTTAATTACAAAGCTTTCAACAAGTGGGAAGCGCATTATATACCAGATTTTTCTTCAAAAATTTTTAGTTCCTTCTTGAGGTTTTTCTTTCAAGTATGTACAAACCTGTGCCTCAATTTGTTTGAGTTATGTCAAACTGCTTTCTTTTGTATATTTCATTTTTCCTAAGGCGGATATTTGGTTACTAGAATTCAACATTTCTGTGAAAAATTACTTTTCTAGGAAAGTCGATTTCTAGGAAAATAATTACTGGAATGTTGAATTATCTTATTTAGGCTGCAAATAAAACCTTTCCAGGAAAGTAAGATAATTACAATAAATTATATTATTTCCCTCAGTTCAAGTATCTTTTATACTTAATCTGTAAGGATACGGTAAATATAAACACAAATATTAATGCAATGAAATTTTTATAATAACCAATTAACATGAAATTTAAATATTGTTTAAAAATTACTTAATAAATATAACTTGTAAAATGATCAGCATATATGATCTTTTAAAATAAAATTGCAAAATTTCAGCAAATGAAAAAAAAAAAAGACAAAAATAAATGAACAAAATCTTATATTTGTTGAAATATTTCATAATTAAGGCTATTAATGTAATTATATTTTTTTAAAATATCTTATTTTTTAGGGAAATTTAATTTACGCACCCTTTGAGATGGGAAAGTACTTTCGATATATTGAAAATTACAGATGGGACTTAGGTATTCAGGAATTGGATTTTCCTGTGAGATTTTGCAACCAAATGCCCCCTAAGTGAATTGACTTTGTATGTCATCCAGGTGCAAGTGCAAACTATAGTATCTGCATTATTTAATTTATGCTCTTACCTAGGGATGGGCTTACCAAGTCAATCCTCTTTTATTTCGCTTTGTACTAACTTGTGAGTGAAATATTGCAGATTTGTAATGAATGCTTTGAAAGCTAAGGAGTTCTATCGGCGAGACGTTCAATACATTGTTAGAAATGGGAAAGCGCTCATAATTAATGAGGTATTTCAATGTCATTTAACATCTGCTATTTTATATTCTCTATGTGCTGAGGCAACTCCTTCATGTGTTTAATGCACAAATAGAAGTTCAAGAAACATATAAAATTTATGCAGTTGACAGGAAGAGTTGAAGAAAAAAGAAGATGGTCCGAAGGAATTCACCAGGCTGTAGAGGCTAAAGAGGGTCTGAAGATTCAGGTACAACTTGAAGATTGAATACTGTTTCCTAAAGTTTATTTTGCAACAACAACAGTGAAAACCAACTATATTATCCAATTGAAAATTGTAAATTTTTCTCTAGGCTGATTCAGTTGTTGTGGCACAAATCACATACCAATCGCTGTTTAAGCTCTATCCGAAGCTGTCTGGAATGACTGGGACAGCAAAAACTGAAGTAAGGATGGTCATTTGTATCATACCATTATATTTACTAATTCTCATACAATATAGTCAGCCATGCTATTAGTTTTTTTTTTTAAACAAGCTATACGCTAGTTATTATGCAAATCTTATTCTGAAATTTCTACTATCTCATTCAGGAAAAAGAATTTTTGAAAATGTTCCAGATGCCAGTTATTGATGTGCCCACAAATTTACCAAATATTCGTAAAGATTTACCCATTCAAGCTTTTGCGGTAGGGTTCATTTTTTCTTTCTGATGTATCAGCCGGTCCACATTCATTGATTTCATTTTTATGAACTCAATCAGACTGCTCGTGGGAAATGGGAGCATGTCCGTCAAGAAATTGAATACATGTTTAGACAGGGCCGCCCAGTTTTAGTGGGGACCACCAGGTAAATCTCTAGAATTGCTCTTATATTTATGTGTGCCAAATATTCCTTCAACTTGATATAATTTTAAGACCACACAGCAAACTAGCACCTCATATAGAGTTTGTGATGCATCAAGGTTTCTTCTACCATTAGTATTTTTCCAAAACTGAATTAACGGAAGGTAGTTCTACACCTAAAGAAATACCAAACTAAGATGAACATTCTTTTGAAAAGGGTTTTTTCCCCCCCTTTTCACAATAAGTAGTGAATAGATGGAAGCTACTTCCATGCTGTTTAACCTTGTATATGATGTTCGAAGTAGCCAAAAAGTGAAGATATCAACATCAAGTTTTTGAAGTATCATTGAAGCAGTGGAGGACACAATGAAGGGATGAACATAGTATGCTCCATTTCCAATCAGCATTGTTTTCTTCCAGTGCAAATTCTATATAGCAAATAATGAGTTTTTTTATTACCTTGTAAGAATGGCGAAATTCTGATGTTTTATCTTATCAGTTTGCTGGATTTTCTTTTACATGTACATGTGCAAAATGGTTCTATTTGAATTTTGAAATATCTGGAGTTTCATGTTCTGTTTTATGTGGGACACTGTTATTAGAGTTTCTTTTATAAGTGTTTAACAGCAATCAGATCTTTAACTAATCCTTCTCCTCTTGTTACAGCGTTGAGAATTCCGAATATCTGTCAGATCTGCTGAAGCAGTGGAAAATCCCTCACAATGTCCTTAATGCACGACCCAAGGTTGACAAAATTTAACCATTTTGCTGTCAATTGGCCTGCAGTTTGCTACATTAACTAGTCATTTTAATTGTTTTCTATATAGTCTTTTTACCCCGTTTCTTTTGTTGCTGTTTTCCCATTAGTATGCTGCAAAGGAAGCTGAAATTATTGCCCAAGCAGGACGAAAATATGCCATTACTATTTCTACAAATATGGCTGGCCGAGGCACTGATATAATTCTGGGAGGAAACCCAAAGGTAAATATGCTTGCTGGATGATTTAGTTCTTAATGTTCTTTAGTTAAACTTTCTGGCTCTCTTTTTATTGACCTTGTGAGACTTGGATGGTAAACCATGTTCTCATTGTGGCTTTACAAATTCGCTTATGATTTCTGGATTGGAGTATTCCTTTGATATTGGGAGGATGTGTGACTTATTTTACCTTCTCTGACCATAATATTTATAGATGCTTGCCAAAGAAATTGTAGAGGACAGGTTGCTTTCTCATCTAACACGAGAAACTCCTGATGTTGAAGTTGATGGCGAGACAATGTCTCGGAAGGTGATTGATTGCTTGTGTTATAGGAACTTGACCAACTTTTCCAAATTTTAATCTCTCTTTTTCTGTAGGTAATGTCAAACATAAAGGTTGGATTAACATCATTGGCTCTGCTAGGGAGGAGTGCACTGATGGGTTTGTGACTCAACTTGAAAGCTTTTGAACTGCCTCCTTTCATATATATATATATTGAGAAGTATGCTATGAGCTTAATGACTATATATTCATTTTGAATGTGAACTCCCAAGCTAAATATGTTGGCAAAAGCGAGGGTAAGAATTGGACATATCAGGAGGCAAAATCAATGATATCAGAGTCTGTGGAAATGAGCCAATCAATGGATGTGAAGGAGCTGCAGATGCTTGCTAATGAACAGTCTGAATTCTACCCTCTTGGCCCAACAATTGCACTTGCTTATTTATCGGTTCTGAAGGATTGTGAAATGCACTGTCTCTGTGAAGGGTCTGAAGTGAAAAGGCTTGGGGGGCTCCACGTGACTGGGACATCATTACACGAATCTAGGAGAATAGATAACCAGGTGAGTCATTAAGTAAAACAGTTTTCTGTGGAAGCAAGTATAATAAATTTAAGGCATTGTTCATTTAGCATGTTTGAGGTACCTTTCTGGCTTACAGGGGAATGTTGCTTAAATTGGGGCCAATGATGCATGATTGATACTTCAAGAATAGCCAATCAAACTTAGTCATGTTTCAAAGTGCTGTATAGTATTTTAAAATGTGTAGTTCTTTTGGGCATGAATAAACAATTTTCAATTGCTTCGTGAAAAACTAAAACTTAAAGTTTTCTTCTGTTGGATTTTGGTGTTTTTAGTAGTTTTTCTTTTTGGTTCTTGCAATATGTGTAACTCGTGCAAGCCTTTCTTTGATGGGACTCATGCTTTCTATGGTGAAATTCTCACTTGGCCAGAATTTAAGTTAGTTCCATAGTTCAGTCATCTTGATGACATCTGTAGAGTTTGATGCATTAATTTTGAGATGTGTAACGTGGTTATGCGATTTCCAGCATAAGAATTGATGAATTTCATTGTTTGATTAACTTACTGGTGTAGAGTTCCAAATTATTTCATAGCCAAAGGCATTGTCCTGTATTTGCAACTGTTCAATGCTTATTCTTGATGTTAATACAAGAACAAATAATATCAATCTGGAGGATCTAGAAATAACTGTCATTCTTATGGATGATATATATGTTTGTTTTTTATTTTATTCTGTCACTTAAAAGCATAGTTCTGTTTGTTTTTTCCCCAAAAATAGCTTCGTGGAAGAGCAGGAAGGCAAGGGGATCCTGGATCTACACGATTTATGGTTAGGTAGTATATTCTGTACTTTTCTATGAGCTTCTCTTAATATTTTCCATTCTCTTGTTCTTGAACTGAATTTTACTGACTAATGCAATAGAGATATATTGCATATGTAATGTGAACTATAAATATTTTGGCATATGAGTGTAGCTCAGGAGACTATCCTTGATGTGGGTTTCATTACAAGAACTTTTTCCTTGACATGACAACCTACCTTCTTAGAGCCACCAAGGCCTTCTCAATAGTTATATGAAATCGGTAATTATGTCAAATGGTTTAAAATAAAAAAATGTGCAACATGAAAAGGATCTGAGGGAAACAAACATGTGTTCGATCTCTACTGCAAAATCTTTTTCTTCTTTACCATCATGGTGATTTCAATTGGAGGGAACTGATTTACTGTATCTCTTATGGGACTAAAAGCCCAACTTGCATTTCATTCATTCAAAGAAGTTGTATTGAGGGTACAGTAGGATCTGAACCTCTTAGAATAATAATGGAAAGCAGTGGATCCCAAAATCCTAGTGTGGTGAATCGCATGGAGTAGATTATGTCAATTCATCAGCCTTTTTGTTTGGTGCATATGAACTGTGGAAAAACAATTTAACTGTGAGTTTCAAAGATGGTCGTGCCTACTGGTATTTGTTGAGATAGGGGGTCAAATAAGTGAAAAATTTGCCTTCTAACTATTAATCAGTTGGCTGAACAGCTATGTAAAAGCTCAAAAGAAACTCTGGCATGCATAATGCTTGATGCTGGTTCTATCCTCTTAACCTTTTTGGTTAATTCTATATTCTCTTAAATGGAAATGATGGCAGCAATTTCTTTTCATAGAATGTATTTTTGAATGTTAAATCATGAGGCATTTTAGATGACTTCTGTACTATATCTGAACAGTTTGCAGGATGAGATGTTTCAAAAGTTTAATTTTGATACTGAGTGGGCAGTTAGACTTATCTCAAGGATAACTAATGATGAGGATATACCAATTGAAGGTGATGCAATTGTAAAACAGGTTTGGTTTCGCTCATGTGCATAGCCATGCATCATTCTCCTTTTATTTTTGTGGTCGTATCTCATTCTTGTTGAGCAGCTTATTAGTAACTTGCGCTCCCATAACTTTTTAGCTTTTAGCTCTGCAAATCAATGCAGAAAAGTACTTCTTTGGCATAAGAAAGAGCCTGGTTGACTTCGATGAAGTATTAGAGGTATGCATATGGGAGTAACAATTTTCTCCTTTTTATTTTTGGCTGCTGTCACTAGCACAATAACTTGATTAGTTGGTCTCTACTTAACTTGCTATTTGTGGCCTGCTTCCAATAACACATGTATTGAGTTCAGTTTGATCAAGTCTTGTCATGATTTGCCCTGCTCATTTCATCAAATGCAAAAACTATAATGAATTGAAGATTTTATCCAGTGAGTGCTAATAGTTGACTTTTTCTAACCATTTCACTCTCAACCAAGAATAATTATGTAATGTAATGTGGAATTATTTAGTGTTCAAAAAATTCACTGTATAAAACATCAATTATTACAGCTCATCAAATTGTTTGATGTGTTTGACAGGTACAAAGAAAACATGTCTACAACCTCAGGCAGTTAATTTTAACAGGTGACAGTGAAAGTTGTGCACAACACATATCCCAGTGAGTACCATTCTTTGTTTGCTCTTTCATTGTGCAACTTTGATGGCAATTTTTAACATGATTGCTTGTGTTTGCAATGCATTCAAGTGCTCCCTTGTTTCTTGAGAGTTCAACTCTCTTGACAGCATTATAGCATTTAAATTCTACTGCCGCCATGCATGAGATCCAAGATGAATAATCTCCATTTGGTTTGCTTGCTTTTTGCCATCTACAAATTTAGATTTTCCTTGAAACTAATAAAATAATATTTAAGTATAGCTGGTAAATGCATGATTTTTTTTTTTTTGCTTTTTACAGAAGTATTTCTTTTGCATTTTAAAATATTGCCTTTTGCTGTCTGACCAAACATTTTGCCTTTTGCTTTCAAAATAGGAAAAAGCATAAAAAGTGACTTAACCAAATAGAGTCCAGGACATGAAAGTTTCTTACTTTTATATTTTTATGCATTTGTGTAAATGCTCATGCAATTAGCATACCAGTACAGTCATCAGGCTTGGTATTCTATGATGAAATATGTGAGACAACAAATACGAGAGTAATTACCTGATACCCCTTCTTCAAAGAGTACATAATACTAACATAGGATATATAAATTAAATTGTCAATACTGCAGACAACAATAATTTTGTAAAATTGAAGAAATAAAGGTGAACCCATTTTGGTGCTAATTTTTATGGTTAAGGGTCTAGCATTTCAAGGTTAGAATTGGGATCTGGTAGACCTGATGCTATCCTGGCATCATGGGTAATATAATATAAAAATTTAATCTTATAGGACAAAGTTATGTCGACATAAAAAAAACATATCTTTTGTTTCAGTTGCTGGTTCTATCTGACCTGTTTGTGAGTTCTGGCTTCCTGTTATAAATATAGTTATCTCTAAGTTGGGTTCTGCACGGAGTGATATTCTTGTTTATTTTACTCATATTTGTATAAAGTTTTTTGATCTAGTTTTGAAACTGCTTCTTAGGTACATGCAAGCGGTAGTAGATGAGCTTGTCTTGGGCAATGCTGATCCCCTGAAGGTAGTACATATCCTAGACAATAGTGTACCTCCATTTATATTTTCCTTTTACTTATTTCTGTAATTCTGATTGATAGCATCCACGGAGCTGGAATTTGGATAAGCTCTTGAAGGAGTTCATTACTATTGGGGGGGAGCTATTGGATGGTTAGTTGATTTTAGATACTTTATTTGTATATTTCTTTATTTTGTTATTGTATTTATTTTGTTAGTTATTTATATTGAACTACAGCCATTATATTTTATTACGAATTTTGCTTTAATGGAATCTTTTTCCCAGACTCATTTGCAGGGATCACCAAGGAAGCCTTGCTAAAGTCTCTTCTACAACTTCATGGCTCAAGCTATATAGATATTTATGACTTTTACCTTCCAAACTTGCCAAAGCCTCCAAATGCTTTTCGAGGAATTCGCAGAAAGTGTTATTCATTAAAGCATTGGCTTACTATTTGTTCTGATGAATTGACTGAGTGAGTCCTATCCTAGTGGCCATATTCTTTGGTTCTGTATACCATACCTGTATTTTGAGTTTACTCTCTGAACTGTCTAATGTAGGAATGGTGAACACCGGGCAACTACCAATCTTCTTCGCAAATACCTTGGAGATTTCCTAATAGCTACGTATTGGAACATTGTACAAGAATCTGGTTATGATGATGCATATATCAAGGAAATTGAGGTGTTTCTCCTTTAACTGCTTCTTTCATGTGGATTGGATCTATTTGCTTGACATTTACAGTTTCTGAATGCAAATATACAAGCTTAAAAACAGTGTTGTTACTGAAAATTGAATTTTCCCCCCTAAATTTCCAATAACCTCTTTAGAATATCGTTTACAGTAAAAAGTAATAAAAATAATTTTGATGACGAAAATAGTTTTTGATTTCATTTTTAAAAATAAAATAAAAGAATAGCTCTAGGAATGAAGAGTAGAAAAAATGCCCACACTTATTCTTCATTAATGGATGGAAATGGAGATGAAGAATTTTATGCATGCTTCTTATGTATTTCACTGTACCTGAAAAAAAATAAAGAAAGTGCTTTTCCTTGTGGTTTGCTCAATTTATATTAAGAAACAAATGTGGTCCATGCTGAGCTTAATTCAGCCAAATTTGCGGAGGAATAATATGGATTTGGACTTCAAGTTGAATCGTCTGTTAACGGGCAGATTGTTTAGAAGATAGTTATGATGTGAAATAATTGTTTTTAATTAGCATATTTAAATATTTAATGGCGTTCTCGGACCCAAATGATAGTGATCCCTAACTCTTTCCTTGAATATTTTATGCAAATGATGCTTGCTCATTGATTCTGAATGGCAATAATATGTAGTATGTTTGTCTGTATCTGTGTCAGAACAATTGATGAATACACCTGTAGAAGAAAGGTGACTTTGTGATACTCTTGGAAGAAACACTAGTGTTCTTTTCTTTTCAGAAATTTTCTATCCTAACTTTTTTCCACCCTGCTTAATACAGAGGGCAGTTCTTCTGAAGACTCTTGACTGTTTCTGGAGAGATCATCTTATAAATATGAACAGGCTTAGTTCAGCGGTACTGTGGTTTAATTGCTTTGGTTCTCTTTAGCTTTCAGTGGGCCTAAAACTTAAATGGAATATCTCGCAGGTAAATGTTAGAAGTTTTGGACACAGAAATCCTCTTGAAGAATACAAAATCGACGGATGTCGATTTTTTATTTCAATGCTTAGCGCCACTCGGAGACTAACTGTTGAAACCCTCTTCCAGTATTGGTCGTCCCCAATGGAGTCCCAGGAACTCTTTGTATGATAAATGCATATTGCTCGTCGTATGTAAGGTGCTTGTCATTTTTCTGTTCTTCGGATGTCTACTCCTGTTAATAAGGAAATAATCTGGGTTCTAGTTAAGTTTGTCTAGAATGATAAGAAAACAGTGGCAGGAACCAGCAGCAAGGAAAATGCAATTCTGGATAAGCCAGTAGTATGCATTTCAGTAGTATCCTGAGTTGCTAACTTGTTTTGCTCTCTCTCTCTCTCTCTCTGTTCTTTTATATGCTTATTTGTTTGTTTTATTCATTTTACTCTATGCTGCTTCTTACTGGGCATGCTATTTTGCGTTAATACTCTCATTTGTTGGTGCTTTGTTCCGCTATCATCTTGGACTAAAAAGATGTAAAATATAAAATTCTTTCATGGATTGATTAGATTTAGTGTCAAGGCTATTTGTAAAGGACTATTTGATTCTTTGATTGGCAGGAAGATAAATAATATTGGAGGTTCCTGAGAATTCCATTTCTCTGGAGGATTAACTTCTGTAAACCAATGCTAATCTTCCAAGTGACCAATTCAAAAACAACTTTCATCCGATAGTATGCTCAAGGAATGCTTAATGTTTGGCATTGAAGAGGTATTAAATTTCATATGTTTTTCCTTTTCTTTTAGCTTTTCTAATCCTATGGATTTCTTCCTCTTCTGTATGAAGGTTTGTACGACGGATGTGGTAAGAACTAAGAAATGCACCTCATTGATGGGGTGACTAAGGACAGTCTGATGAACCCTTGGCTTGTCTTTTTTATTGGAAAAGTCATGCGTTACAGAAGCTGCATCAGGGCAGTGACCTTACAGCCAAATGACTTAAAATCAGTAAGAGATCGCTGATGATGAGCGTACGATGGTCAAGAGTAATGTTGGGACAGACTTGAGTATAGAATTTTGAACCACATAGCTGCCTCATTTTTCTCTCTGGTGTTGTGTAATAGTTAATGTCATAATCTATTCCAGGGAACTGCATGTTTTTTTTTTTTTTTTCCAAGTTCTATACTGCTAATATCTGCCCCCCCCCCCCCCTTTTCCGAAGTTCTGATACTGCTAATAGTCTGCCCCCCCACGCCCCCATATGTCTTCCAATGACCCCCCCCCCCCCCATATGTCTTTCAATGAACATTTTGGAAATTCACAACATTCTGATTTCATTTTGGTTAACACAGAATCCAAGTTTTATAGGAAGCTCAAACCCAATCCTTATATTATAATCGAAGTATATTAGAAATGGTTTGGTAGTTTTTCTCACTTTTTGTACGAATTTAGGAGATTTTAAATTTCAGTCTTTTCGATTATAAGAATTTTGATTAATGTGGTGAGGATGATTAAAAAGAGATCGTTATATTTATATGATTCATAATATTATTGTCTTATTCCGATATTTTTTTCTTAGTACAAATGCAAAATTTGACTTGGAAACTATTAGTATCCCACTCATTTGAAGTTTCTTTACCTGGAAAAATGAAAGGTCAAACGCCTGCATTTTGCACGTCAATATTTCTTACGGGTCCCTTGAACCATTTCCTTGCATCCATGACCCACCAAAGCATAATCAAGCTCAAACAAACCCCAAGAGCAACTGGGGCATAGTTGAAGGTTTTCCATTTTATGGGGTATGAGGTTGGCAATAGAAAAGTTGAACAAGTATAACAAATCCATAGAAAGGCTATGAAGCAAACTGGCCTCCTTGCCCTACCCAAATAAAAAGGTCCTGGTTTGAAGTCGTCCTCAGACATCACAAGCCTTGCAAATATTGGTACAACATACCCTCCTACCCATCCACTTGTATTTATTGATATAATGGCTGTGAAAACCACATCAAGCTTCAATATGGGTAGTCCAAGCATTATAGCTATTGCAGCACACAGCCAAACAGCATTTCTTGGAACCTTATATTTTGGGTGAATTCTTCTCCATACGTGTGAAAATGGAATTCCTTTGTCTCTTGACAGAGCATAAACCTACAAGGAACAAGTAGCAGTCATTCGCTATTTCTGAATAATGAAAAATAAATTTTCATTCAAACGAGAGTATTTCTGAAAAGATAAATAAAAAATCTCATTTTTCATTACTTTGGTTTATGGATAGATCCATAAATCGGGTCTAGGCATGTCTAATAGAAATAGAAATAGAAATGGTAAGTAATATATAAATATCTCTTACCACTCTGCCCGCGGTAGTGGTTATTGAGAGTCCAGAAAAGAAGTACGAACCCCAAATGATACAGAGGAAAATAACAGCTCCACCTCCATTATTATACCTCCCACGAAATGCATCATACATTATCTGTGCTGGCACGAGTGCGCCACCAGTCTCATTGTTCGGATCATATAAATGATTCAGGTCCTGCAATAATAATTCTCCAATCAAATTTATGTGTATGTTTCATTGCTGATTTTCCACTAGTGGAGTGTAATTAAGCTTAATTTGTATACCTTGATACTGAAAGTAAGAGCTAAATTATAACCCCATCCAAAAGCAGAAATAATTCCAATGGTAGAAAGAATGGCAATGGGTCCAGTTCTATCAGCTCCTTTTGTTTCCTCAGTTAAATAAGCTGCTGTGTCATAACCAGACAGGCAGTAATTGCTTAGTAGAACAGACATGATTACTGCATAAGGTTTACTGCTAATCCCAGTTGCTTCAGGTGCTGTTTCAAAATGACTGAACACGTATGAAACTGGTTGTGTTGGTCTTGCCACTAACGGAAGCATTATTATCACTACCAAACCCCCAATCACCTGCATCTTAGTTAGTCAATTTCTTTTATTAATACTTATTCAAATTAGAAGAGTTTGTAATTCTCAGTTTCTTATCGAGAATCCAAACAAACCAACTCAATTCTATTGAATTCGGATAGTTGTTTGAGAAATTCGGTTACCCATTAATTTGAGTGTATAAAACCATTTGCTTTTCGGTTTTTGGTTCAATTACCATATATAATTAACCGAATTTATTTTAAGCCTAAATAACTAATTTGGTTCAGAATAATCGAATCTAACCAAACCTATTTGATTTGATTTGGATCGATTATTATACCATTTGATTTCTGATTTGAATATCATAAAAACATATTTGGATAAATAGAAACCGAACTAATTCGGTTGGTTCAATTTGGTTAACTGAATGCTAACCCCTACTTGCAAGCTACTGATTTGTAGGGAGCAAACCTGCCACCAAATGGAGATCATGTCAAGAATTGCAATAACTTGTAAAGCAAATGTGTTGAGAAATGCCCATATAAGGACTAAGCCTATGTACATGCACAAGAATACACTTCTTGAAGCAAAGTAACCTCCACCCTTATTTGTTCCTGTTGACAAAAGAATAATCATTTGTAGAGCCTGTGATCCTGAATATGCCTGCAAGAATTATAATTACCAACTAAGAACCAATTCTGTTTCAGGATTTACTGAGCCAATTAATCGATTAATTATACTTTTTGTACACGTACTTTTATACTCAAGTTAGGATGGTATTTAGATTAGATCTTCCGAAGATTGCGATTTTAAATTTCGAATCTTCAATGTTAAGTCTACATTATATATAAAAATGGGAATGAGAAAATAATGAGATTTCCAAAATCATTCTTAATGAAATTCAATATATGTTAAAATATCTTTAGTTATGGTGAATTTTTAGAGATTTTTTATTAGTTTTTTAAAATTTTATTTATAATTAATTAAAAATCAATATATAAAAAAGAAATTTCATTGTTTATGTAATCTACTCTATTTAAGTTATTTATTTTAAATCATCTAGAAAATTACTATTTAATTTATCTATTTTAAAATTAAAATTTAATATTAATAGATATTAAAATTACTATTATATCCCTTTTTATCTATTATGTTATTCCTTTTTTATGGTGTGGAAATGAATGAAACTAGAAATTCAATACATAACTAGTAGAATGTTTGCAAATGCTTTTTTTTAAATGAAATTTTAGATGCTAATTGAAGTATAATCTTATAATTAATATTATTTTTTTCAGTTTATCTTTTACAATTGTTTTATCAAATATATTTGATTTTTAATATTGTCTTTTATATAGAATTAATTTAAAATAATATTACTCACTTATAATATGAATATAACTTTAAGAGATATATATTTTAATTTAAAATTATTACACACGAAATCATATTTTAACGTTAAAAAAATTTAAACCATATAAAAGGAAAATTATAACTATACTTATATTATGTAAGAATAAATTAATAAATATAAATAAAAAAATAGTTATATTTTAAATGTGGCATGTTGGATTCAATAATCAATTAATTATACATTTTGAAGGTGTACCTGAGCAGCAATTCCAGCAGTGATACCAACAGTCTCGAGCCAGGCACAACACCAAGATGCAAATGGGCCCCATATAGGCCCAGCCAAATGAGCAGACCAAAAGTAAAGCGAACCTGTTGTCTGTTTAATGAAAATTTGTTCAAAAGGAGTAACTAAATTATAAAAAAAAAAATTAATTTTCTTAAATTATAATAAAATATTCATTAATTTAACTAAATTATTTTTTAAAACATCATGGGGTAGTTACTGTATTTAATATAAATAAAGATAAAATAGAAAATTTTTTATTAATTATTCTTATATATTCTTGAAACATTTTATATTTGTGGATAAAGTTATATATTGTAGATTTGAAACATTGAATGCTTAAAATAGATGAAGACTTACAGGGAAAGAGGAGCAAATTTCAGCCATGGCTATTCCAATGAACCAGGTGAAGAATGTGACGACGACCCATCCCCATGTCAGAGCAGCTGGTCCTGCATAAATTAAGCTTGGACCATATAGAGGTGTTCCACTGAAAACTGCCATGCTCGAGAATGTAAATGCAATTGTCTTAAATAGACTCTGCAATTAAATAATTCGAATTAGCAAATCGATTTTGAATTAATTAATAATAATTAAATTTCAGAGACTATTATGTATTAGAGTTCCATCAAATAAAAAAAAAATTTAAAAATATATTAAAATAAAGAAAAGAATAAGAGGAAAAAAACCATGTTTCTACTGAGTTCTTGCTTGTATCCAAGGTCATTGAGTCTCTTCTCTGCAGCATCAATTTTTTCGCTCGGAGCCATTAGTTAATTAGAAATTGAAGAACACTCATTAATGATAATCACTTTTAAAAAAAAAAAAATCAATAAGAAGAAAATTTCTGTTAGTTTACTAACAGAATTAAAACAGAAGTGGTTATAGCATTGTATGCTTTCAATTATGTTTGTTTAAACGATGTATATATATACAATACATTACATATAGAATGGTTGTTTTGACTTTCAAATTAGAAATTATATGTGTATTGTTCATCTTCAAGTCAATTAGATGACCACAATTATCACACTACTCATCGGGCTATAACGCAAGTACGGATAAGTCTTTTTCGAGATGTAAAAGTAACGTCGAGTGTGGATAAATCTTTTCCTCGGCATAATATATTTGAATATGAAGAATACTAATTTAAACTTTAGTTATTTAGGCTGAATTCTTAATACTGTATAGAAATTAATACATTATTAAATTGGATGATTAAAAAGTGGTATCAATAATTGATTGCTGAATGATTTGCATATGATATTATTTAATAATTATATGAGTAGTTTTATCTTTTCATCTAATAAAATATATAGCTTATTGAATCAATTCTAAAATGAAATTCTCTTTTTTTTTTTTTTGAAAAAATAATAAGATTGCATCATTACAAGCTTTCAAGCCTCAAAATATTAACAATACAAATAAGAGTTGAACTATGGCTACAAGATACTAACGCTTTAGTCAAACCAACTCAGATTTTACTGCTTAAAAAACTTCTTGCTAGTTTAAGGTTTGTCCTCTCTTATGTACTTCATTTTCAACTTCATTTTCAGTCAAAAAAGATCCATAAAATGAAACTTTTGTAATTAAATAAAATTTGGCTTATAAATTTAAATAAAAAACTTATGGATTCGATTCAAATAAATAATGTATGGATTATTTAGGTGCTGTTTGTTTTAGATTAAATTTTTTGTTTTTTGTTTTTTCTTTTAAAAAATAAACAAAATTTGTTTGTTTAAACTGGTTTAATTTTTTTCTTTATTTTTTATAAAATTATTTTTTTTATGAAAATAAATTTTACGAAACCACAAACAATGGTTTCTGTAATTGTGCTATCAGTTTTTATTCTACATTTCTCCTTTTTTTTCATTTTCTATAAGACTTGTCCTCATAAAGTTGTATTATTATTATTTTCTCTATCCATATAAATCTAATGTCATTTAGTATTATTATTTATTATAATACTTAGATATTATATTCTTTAGATATTAAATATTTTTATTCTATTTTTATTCAATTGATTGCATACATAATAATCAATAGTTAATTTAACTTTGAATTTAAAATTTAAGTGTGAAATATTTTTAATTATTTTGTCTTAGATTTTATAATTTTAGATTTTTTTATCATAAACTAAAATCTTTAATGGCTTAATAAGGAAGAAATTTGATAATTTAAAGAATTTTTCACATCATGAACTAAAAGAAAGGGAAAAAAATTTAGAAAAATAAAGTTTTGAAAAAATAAGTAACCAAAAACAACTTTATGTTTTTAATAAATAAAAAATTAAAAACAAACAACTGTGACGAATTTTTTATTGGCAGTTTCTTTTTCCTATTTGCTTGCAAAAATCGCATTTCAATGTGAAAAGGCATGAGAGTAGCAAAGTTTGAATTTATCCAATCATCATTTCAAATTTTTAATCATGTTCCTCATAATGTTTTTTTTTTTTTTTTTTTTTTTTTTTTTTTTTCCTTTTTCCACAATAATTTCAAAAATTTAAATCACGACGCTCATTAAAGTAAAATGTTTCCGACAATCGCATTCAAAAATTTAATCATGTTCTCACAATAAATAGAAATTCTTTTATTCTTAATGTTTTTTTTTTTTTTTTTTCCTTTTTCCACAATAATTTCAAAAATTTAATCACGACCTCATAAAGTAAAATGTTTCCGACAATCGCATTCAAAAATTTAATCATGTTCTTCATAAAGTAGAATGTCTTTTATTCTTTTTTTTTTTTTCATAACTAATTTTCATACATTTTTGAAAAAAAAAATAATTTTTATGCACTTTTTAAAAATTAAACTAATCTCATTCTCTATATAACTATAATAAATTAACTACTATTCACGAATTTTTCGATGCTTGGTTCAATAAAAGCTGAGCTCGATTTGAATTACTAATAAGATTTTTTATTTAAGCTGAGTATTAATAAAATAGAGATGTTATATATGGTGATATTATTTGTGATTATTTATTTTTAATCAAATTACTATATACAATTAATTCATATAAAATAAATAATTAGGTAATCAGCTATATGAAAAATACTATCCAATAATTAATTTTACGATTTATAATAAAAATAAAATGTATTAGTCAAACATAAAGAACGTATAATTAATTTATCTAAAATGCATTACTAAATTCATTTTTACAATTTATTACAAAAAAAAAATCAAAATATTAGATTTGTTTTTATCTAAGAAAATATAGTTTAATTAAATTAGTTATAACATAAATAAATATGACTAAAATTAATTATACAATGTTGATTAGATACAGTTCATAACTCCATATTTTACATAGAAACATGTTCTCTATTCTAATAAATTATCTAAGCCTAATTTCATTTTATTATAAGTCTGTAAAAAAATTATATCCTAAATTTAAATATATTTATTAATGTAATATTTTGTGCAATAATTATTCATAAAATTATATATATTTATAACAAATTACAATAAGTATAAATGAATTTATAAACTAAGTATAAGCTTAATAAATGAGTTTATCAAATAAATAAACTCATAAGCTTAATAAATGAGCTTGTTCACGAGCCTATGCACGAAGTTATTAAATAGACAGGCTAGCAAACCTAATAAAAAAATATATTCATAAACTTGTTCGCGCGAGCTAGAGCCTTGCCAAGCCGAGCTTCATAAGCTCAAACTTTGATAATTAGCATTATAATAATAACTAGGATTACAATTATAAATAGCATTTTAGCTGTATTATAATTAATCACAGGTTATGTTATTTTATATAGCTTTCTCTATTATTAATAATAATAACCAGAATTATGAGAGATTTATCATTATCACTAATATTTTAATAATTTTATAATAATTATATTTCTAGGTATTATTGTAATCACAATTATTTTAATTATAAATACTATTCTAATAATATTATAATTACGTTTGAAATTAATCGTAGAAAAACTAGCTTGAAGTTGAACTTTTATCGAGCTCTTAATGAGTTTAAATTTGATATTTTAATAAACTTTCGAGCATGAACTCAAGCTAATGTTAATAAGCTACTTGGTAAAAGTGTATAAATTTTTGATTTAGTTTACTATATAAAATTTTTTTATTAACATAATAATTAAACAAAATTATCCAAGTCAACACTATATACTTGGAAAGTGAAAACAAGAGCAAAGATTGCTGCTGATGAGCATACGATGGTCAAGTTGGGCGGACTTAATTAGTTGGTCTTGATAAATTTTTCTTTAAAAAAATTGGTAAAAGTGCAAAATAGAGAATGACTTGCCTGGATTGGTCTATCGCGCTCTCATGAACCAACTCAATAAAAGTATATATGAAATGAAAATATTTTTGACTATTCATTAATTAGGAAAAGCAAAAAGAGAAAAATTTTGATTTTCAAATGGTATGATCCATATATAGACCTACATACCAGATCTAAACAAGTTTTATCTTGCAAGATGCGATTAGGAAACTAGCTAGTATCCCATATATACATCAATTAATTTTACAAAAAAGAGAAAAAAAACGTTAGACATCTCCATTCTGCACGTCAATATTTCTTACAGGCCCCTTGAACCATTTCCTTGCGTCCAAAACCCACCAGAGCATAATCAAACTCAAAGAAACCCCGAGAGCAACTGGAGCATAGTTGAAGGTTTTCCATTTTATGGGGTATGAGGTTGGCAATAGAAAAGCTGAACAAGTATAACAAATCCATAGAAAGGCTATCAAGCAAACTGGTCTCCTTGCCCTACCCAAGTAAAAGGGTCCTGGTTTGAAGTTCTTCTCATCCATCATTAGCCTTGCAAATATTGGTACAGCATACCCTCCTACCCATCCAATTGTACTTATTGATATAATGGCTGTGAAAACCACATCAAGCTTCAAGATGGGTAGTCCAAGAATTATAGCTATTGCAGCACACAGCCAAACAGCATTTCTTGGAACCTTGTATTTTGGGTGAATTCTTCTCCATACGTGTGAAAATGGGATTCCATTGTCTCTTGACAGAGCATAAACCTACAAGGAAGACACAAAAATGAGAAGAAGACTATAGAAACAGTAATTATTATATCACTATCTCTTACCACTCTGCCAGCACTAGTAGTTACTGAGAGTCCACAGAAGAAGAAAGAACCCCAAATGATGCAGAGAAAAACAACAGCTCCAGCTCCATTATGATACCTGCCACGAAATGCATCATAGATTATCTGTGCAGGAACAAGTGCACCACCAGTCTCATTGTTCGGATCATATAAATGGTTAGGGTCCTGCAATAATAATTCTCCAATCAAATTCTCACCTCTCTCTTTTTAACAGGTAGCTTTATTAATAAGTATACCTTGATACTGAAAGTAAGAGCTAAATTGTAACCCCATCCAAAAGCAGAAATGATTCCAATGCTAGAAAGAATTGCAATCGGTCCAGTTCTATCAGCACCTTTTGTTTCCTCAGTTAAATGAGCTGCAGTGTCATAGCCATACAAGCAGTAGTTGCTTAGTAGTACAGACATAATTACTGCATAAGGTGTACTGCTAATCCCAGTTGCTTCAGGTGCTGTCTCAAAATGACTGAACACATATGAAGCTGGTTGTGTTGGTCTTGCTACCAACGGAAGCATTATTATCACCATTAAACCCCCAATCACCTGCAACTTGGTCAATTTCTTTTGTTAATTATTCAGATTAGAAGAGCTTGGAAGCTAGTTTTGTGTAAAGAACTAACCTGCCACCACATGGAGATTATGTCAAGAATTGCAATGACTTGTAAAGCAAATGTGTTGAGAACTGCCCATATAAGGGTAAAACCTATATACATGCACAGGAATACACTTCTTGAAGCAAAGTAACCTCCACTGATGTTAGTTCCTGTTGACAAGAGAATGATCATTTGTAGAGCCTGTGATGCTGAATATGCCTGCAAGAATTAAACTTACTAAGACCATTTCTGTTTCAGGATTTACTGTTGTAATTACTAATTAACCAGGTTTTACAACTCTTAACTTTGCAGGTAAAGTTCCCTGGTATTTAATATTTATCAATAGGTCTAGAATCTAGATGTACCTTACCTGAGCACCGATTCCAAAAATGACACCGATGGTCTCGAGCCAGGCACAGCACCAAGATGCAAATGGTCCCCATTTGGGCCCAGCCAAATGGGCAGCCCAAAAGTAAAGTGAACCTGTTGTCTGTTTAAATTAAAAATTTCCAACAAAACATCGAGAAATTAGGATTATATATTTTTTTTTTGAAAGGGAAATTAGGATTATATATGACCAACAAGTCAATGGCGGATTCTACTGATCTTACAAAATTAATTAATTAATTAATTAATTAAGTTGAATGCTAACCGGTCCAATTACGCTGTTAATTAATTCATATAAAAATTTGCAATAATGTTTGACCAGAGAAAAATGGACATGCTTTGACCAAGAAAATGCTCCAACATGAATGACGTCTATATGTCATCAGCAAAAGAATTTTAAAATTTTTTCAATTTAGGACAAAGTATCTTAAAAAGAGATGAAGACTCACAGGGAAAGAGGAGCAAATTTCAGCCATGGCTATTCCAATAAACCAGGTAAAGAATGTGACAACTACCCATCCCCATATCATAGGTGCAGGTCCTGCATAACGTAAGCTTGGCCCATACAGAGGTGTTCCAGTGAAAACTGCCATGCTTGAGAATGTAATCGCAATTGTCTTAAACAGGGTCTGCAATTGCATAGCATGCAAGAAAATAATTAGTATAAACAAAGCATTAGATCTCTTCTTTTTGGAAAATGAATTAAAAAGGGAAATTATAAGCGAAATAACCAAGAATAATAGGAATAACCATTTCTCTCCTGAGTTCTTGCTTGTATCCAAGCTCATTGAGTCTTTTCTCTGCAGAATCGATTTCTTCTTGAACCCTCGGAGCCATTAGTTAAATAGAGAATAATCTCAATAAGGAGAATTTCTTGTTGTTTATCAACAGAATTAAAGTAGAAGTAGCTAGCTACAGCATTATAGATAACCATTTCCAAGTTTGTTCAGATGATTTTTATACATATAGAATGTTTGGTTTCTTACTTCTGAATCAGTATATTTTATGTGTATATTTGGCATCTTCAAGTCAATTAGAGGACCAGAGTTATCAATCTTGACCTTATAGGTGCAAGTGTGCTTGAAAATGAAGACCTGCTAATTTTTAGTAATTGTAGACTTTAACTTTTTAGCATTTTTGGCACTTTTCTCTTGTCGTTTACTTGAAGAAGTCGTATCTCAATCCCAATGTGGAAAAATAAGACCACGCCAGTTGGAAAGTTTGAATTTATCACGTCGTCTTTTCAATAATTTATTTTAGTCTAGTCATGTTCCTGGTAAAATTGTACTGAACGGAACTAAACAGTGGACGGAAATAATCAAATTAAATCAGTTTAATTTTTAATTACTTTTTGGGTTTCATAAAACAAACGGAAGAAAAAAATTTTGATTTTTTTTCCTATAAAAATTAAGACTGAACTATCAAATATTAAATCGAAGTCAATATAATCGAACTATGTTCATCACATGCGGGAATTCAATACATATGTGACAAATAAAAGAAATTAAATGATAACGGATGAACTATAACCAATCAAGTGGTAATGTAATATAGTTTAAATTGATTTTTTCATTTATATAAAGAGTGGAAGATTTCGAACTTCTGAGTGATACTGACGCTGTACCTTCTGGCTTAGGCCTATAATTTCACTCTCTGCAAATAGGTTATTGACACATACCCAACGGTCTAAGGTCCAAAACATATATTAATTAAAGGCTGTTTAGATGGATTGGGGCCTGAAAGTAGACACTAAGCTTCTGGTACTTTTAGCTCAAAGTTTAAATACAAAATGAAAGAAAATGCTAAAATCCTGTTTCTCATTAAGGCTAAAATGTGCTTTTCTGAAAAAGCATTATTCTATTCTAAAAATAAAAAAAACATTATCTTAAACAGTATCGGAAAAATATATATTTTTGATCTATTTTTAAATTATTTTGAAATATTTATATTTGAATTTCTCAAATTGAACTCAAAACAATTTTTTTTTTTTTTTAATTTGCATGCATTTTTCCACGCACAAACAGAGGTAATAGTATTCAATTATAACCCTCTCAAAAGTGATAACTTTAGCTCAAAACCAATTATTAATGATTTTGAACCAATAAATTTTAATTGAATACTTTTTTCAATCAGGTTTCCAACAATAATTATAAAGTAAATCATTACCATTGTGTTTCATAATACTTGTCGCATTTGGAATTTCACGTTTTTTAATAAAACCATTAAATTTATCTAAATTATATTAAATTATTGAATAAATTGACTATATTACCATTAATTTAATATTAATTCTCTAAAAAAAATGATTAAATTGAAACAATAATTATTGGTCATATGTAAAGGATAAACATAAAAAAAATATTTATTATTCCTTAAAATTATAAATGTGATGAATATTTTAAAATAAACTATTTTTTTAAATGTAATAATATTGTATAACAGAAGTATTATATTTCATTTTCAATGATAATGAGATCTTAATTGCTTTTCAACTTATTAGTAGAAAATGAGAATTGTTGTTTGACATAGCTTTATTGACATACTAAGAAAGCAATATGACCATTTAGTAAAGAATAAAAAAGAAAGATAATAGTTGACTTTTCTTTTTTGAAAAAAAAAGTCACTCTCTATTTCTTTTTCAAAAAGAAAAGAAATTAAGAAGAAACAAAATTAATAACATAGGAAATTAGGTTTTATACTACAGCTAGATATAGGAATATGCATGAAATTATAATATAAAATAGTAAAACGTGTATTATATATTCTAAAAAAAAAGTGTATTAAAGCATATATAATATATGTAACATAATGATTTATTTATGTATTCATAATCAAATACATAATGAATATAAAAATAAATTAATGAGATTAAACAAGTAAATAACGAATAATAATAATAATGTGCAATCTACGTAATATAAATACTCTATACGTGCGTATCGATACCTAATAATCAAGTACAATTGCTTGCAAAAAAAAAAACCTTTGAAGTTTATAAATAATTAACCAATAAAAAGAAATAGTATTAGGGTTGCCATGTGGAGACAACATGTAATTTTCCAAATTGCAGAATGGTTACGAAACTCTTATACGGTTACTTAGGTAGTTATGCAATTCCTTTAACTGTAACTAAATGGGGTTGCTTTATGTAGTTATTAATTAATCATTCCAAGAAGTTTGAATTAATCAACACTTGACACGCACAAACAAAAGGACTTTTCACGTCTAGCTAACTAATTTCTTTTTTTTTTTTTAATTCTTTATTTTAATCATCCGATATTCGAAGCTTACTGATCCGATTAATTTGGATTTGCATCGGATAGGGTCATAGAGGCGGCAAAACGCTTCCTCTCAAGTGTTAAGAGAGATGGAATCTCTATCATCTCTCGAGGGTTTTTAAAATATTATTTTAAGTATTGAAAAGAGGAAGGTCTAATAAAAATATATTGACGAGTTTTATATATAATTATATATATTTACCATTAAATTATATATAATTATTTTATGTATTCACTATTAAATTATATATAATTATTTAATCAATTATTACAATATGTAATAATTGGACTAGATGAATTATTAAATGTTTTTAAAATCCAAAAGTTTTGAAATTATGACTGAAATGCTGAAAATTAATATTTTTAATTGTTAGTGTTTAAGTAATCATCTAGTCATTAATAATTTTAGTGGCAATTGCAACTGCTATATCAAAAAATACCCTGAATGTCTATTTCACGTACATGGAATATATTTTTATTTTTTTATTTAAATAATTGTCTGCGAGGCAATTAAGCAGGATGCAACACACTTTCAATAAGAAATACCAAAACCTATATTAAGAAAATTCATTTTATATGTTACGATAAAATCAAAACGAATTAGACATAGTCTGATTGGTCTGTTCGTGTTCTATAAAGGATGTGAAAAGTGAGAGATATCGAATTTAAGTCATTTCCACTATGAAATTATCTTGATAAATATTATTCAAAATAGAGAGCTGCCCCTTCCGTTCAGCCTCCTACAAATAAAAAAATAAAAATAAAAACTTAAATTATTATATGGTAATAATGAGATTTTTAATGAGCAAACCATCTCTTAAATTCCAATAATCAATTTTCTTAAAGATTTTAAAATTAAAAAAGAAACAATATGAGACCAATCATTTAAATATTATTAGACAAGATCAAAGAATAAAAATAAAATATAGTTGTTGAATTGGATTTCCCAATGAAATTTCTTTGACAAAAATCTGGACTAAGTGTTGCCGACCACTTTGATGACTTTGCTGGCTTAATTAATTATATATTAAAAGTTAGTTAATTCAATTAGTGTACAAGAAATATTTAAAATACAATAATATTGCTTTCTTGAATAAAAAAAATATTAATTTATTAAATTGATGATGAGGAATTGATTAAAAAAAAAAGACAGAGACCAAAAACCAAATCTATGTACAGACACTCTAGACCAATTTCCATGGATGCCTTTGCCTTGTTAGCAACACCATTAGTCAGCACCATGTGAGCAAGAAGAAGAAGAAGAAGAAAGAGAGAGAGAGAGAGTTCTTGAAATGGAAGAAAGGGAACATAAGAGTTAATATGCATGAACATTAGACAATTTTTTCACTTTTTTCAAGATGATTTTAATTTAATTTTCCTTTGAATCCTCCATTTATAGACAATGTCTTGGGGGAATGCATTTGGCAGGCAATGTATTATTCTTGAAATAAGTAAAACAAAATTATCCTGCTCACCATTTTTATATTTAGTTCAAAACTTAAATGATACTACAAGTTTTTATATAGTGTGGTCTTTTGCATATGAATATTCCACGTGATAGTTATATGACCAAACCTATAAATATTGTTTCACGTTAAATTTTATGATTTGAATACACGTTCTTAATTGTTAATAGCTGGTAGCTGATAGATTATCTGACCTTTGAAGTTTGAAGATTGAATCCATTGAAGTTAAAAAAATGTTCCAAAAAGTTCATAAATGTATATATAATGAGCAATTAGGTGTATGAGATAGGCTGTCTTGACTCTTAATTCAATGGTTCTCTATAAACACTACTTAGCTAGCTTCAAAGTTGTAATGTTGTTAATTTGAAAACAATATCTCTTTTTCTTGCTTCTCTTTAGTCTTCAGCTGTCGGTTAAGTTGGACTTGCTGTCACTCCTTCATTAAAGAGAAAAGCACCAAAAATAATTATAAAATACAAAAAATAAACAATAATGTTTAATCATATGGTTGGTAAATCAAATGTAATATGATGAATAATGGAGTTACGGATTTTCTTTAGAAGGGGCGAAAATAAAATATTCAATTCGTCATTTAACGTAAGTTGGTTAAAATATTTAGCAAAGTCTTTTAATAAAAGCTATCAAATTATTCGAATATATATTTGGTATTAATTCCTTTTTCATAGTTTTTCTTTTTGAAAATGTAATTTAATAATAATAATAATATCGAGAATTATAATTAAGCATATAGAATAAATATAGAATTTTGCTGTTAGTAGCTAACAAAGTTGTTGATATTTTAACGAAACAAAAGAATTCATATCTTGTCGAATCATGAAACTCAAACTAAAAAATATAATATTAGATCTTTTCAATTGAAGTTGATCTTAACAAGAGATATAAATCTTCATAGCAGCAACTAATCCGTTAATTGATTTGATTCGGACGTCAAATAATAACTTCTCTGGATTTTCTATAATTGGATTGATACAGATGAGTTTCCACCGTTATGCGTTAATAGCATCAATGGAGGAATAGATGGCACTACCAGACTTCATCGATCGAAGATCCACACTTGCGAATCAAGATCTAAAGTCTCCAACTAAATAAAATTAAATAAGATATAGTTTTATTTAGTAAAAACCTTCACAAGGAAGAGACAAAAAAAAACTTCAAATATGGAGACAACCAACAATAATAAAACAAAAAAAAACATATGTGTTATAGGAAAAATATATCTGAGTTTATTAAAACAAA